AATAAAAAAATCTACTGATGTAATAATCTGTGGCTATGGTTATTAGTAATTATAGTAGGATCATTTAGTTGGATCAGTAATGGTAGATTTTTTTTTTCTTTTTAAGTATTCTTTTCATTACAGTATGGATTGGGGGCTCAGACATTTTTCTTCTTCTTCTTCCTTATGTTTCTTTCTCTTTGACTGCAAATTAGACTGTACTCAAAACTAATAAAAATTAATGTCAAAAATGTGTAGTGTGCCAGTGCTCAGGACTTTTTATGTGTATAATTTAATTTGGGATGGAAATACTGTAGCAATGTGCACATGGCCAGTGAGGTCTTTCCCAAATACTAGAAGTCTAAACTGATGGACTGCTTGACAATACATGCAATAGTACTGCTCCATAAGCAGGAGCAGATAATTTGGACTCACTCATGTTACAAGAAAAGTTCAAGGGCAGAAATTTCAGAAACATCCTTACAGTTTATTGCTGGATCACCTGTTAATTAATCAATTTCAATCTGCCTCAGCCAGAAGTGACTTCAGGAGAGGAATGGCTGTTTTGGTTTGAAGTAACGAATGCACATACTGGAATCAGTCAGCTTTACTATGGAAATACTTCTAGTACTGTCTCATCTTAAAAAAACATTACATATTCTATGATGGGTGGTGGAATACACTTTGACACCACTTTAACTGCCATGGCTCAGTGCTATGGACTTCTGGGGATTGCAGTTTGTTGTGGCACCAGAACTCTCTGACAAAGAAGGCTAAATGTTTCACAACACTACAGTTCCCAGGTTTCCATAGAATTCAGCCAGGGCAGTTGAAGTAGCATGAAACTGGATTATTTCTGCTGTACAGATACACCCATAGTAGCATAGAATTAGAGGAGTCTCTCTCAAACTTTGACAGAATGAACACTGGTGTTTCCTGCCACTCAGCAACAGACAGAGAACTCCTTTGCATGTACAGTGTCCCCTAGTATCTATTATTACTCTCCCACAATCCTGCTTTCTACTTTGCCTAATTTTTCAGGATTATGTTTTCTAGGCAATGGGCGGAAGCTGGAAAATTAATTTTAGGACTACAGTTGTTAGAATCCCCAGTCACTCTTGGCCATGATTCTGAGAGGCGTAGTCCAAAAAGTATTCCCCCCCCCCCC